TCCTCTTCTAGCTCCAGGAACCTTTCTAGGTCTGGTGTTTGATTTGACGTTGCCAAAAAATGCTTTGGAGGAAAAAGCCCTTTACCTGGCCCCCCTTGCTGAAAGAACGCTTCTGGATCTGCTGTTTGACGTCCAACTCCTCTGGAAAAGAGTTCCGCACAGGCATCACCGCTCCAAAAGTTTCGAAGTGCTGGGACATTCTTCATGTACAAGCCTCCTATGTGTCCCTTGTTGAGTCGCGGAGGCCTCTGATGTGTCATTTTCCTTGGCCGTGCTAGCGGAGTCGCGCCTAGCCTGCTTTGAACTTATGATACTTTAAAGCTCCGGAGGAGGCCATAGGACGCCAGTGTAGGAGTCTAGGGGGAAGGAGGGGGGTGAGTTTCGAGTACGTGTACGAATCTTCTTGCAAGTACCTCCATGAGTCGAACTGTTGTAGCACAGCAGCGTGGATTTGGGTTGCAAGAGTCAGACGCAAAGCGAGTGCCAAGTCAAGGAAAACACTTTTTTGTACTCCGCGTCCTTTTTTAGCTCAAGGAACCTTTCTAGGTCTGGTGTTTGATTTGACGTTGCCAAAAAATGCTTTGGAGGAAAAAGCCCTTTACCTGGCCCCCCTTGCTGAAAGAACGCTTCTGGATCTGCTGTTTGATGTCCAAATCCTCTGGAAAAAGAGTTCCGCACAGGCATCACCGTTCCAAAAGTTTCGACTCGCTGGGACATTCTTCATGTACAAACCTCCTATGTGTCTTGCGGAGTCGCGGAGGCCTCTGACGTGTCATTTTCCTTGGCCCTGCTAGCGGAGTCGCGCCTACCCTGCTGTAAATTCATAATAGTTTAAAGTTTCGGAGGAGGCCCTAGGATGCCAGTGTAGGATTTTAGGGGGGAGGAGGGGGGGAGTTTCGAGTATGTGTACGAATCTTCTTGCAAGTACCTCCATGAGTCGAACTTTTGTAGCACAGCAGCGTGGATTTGGGTTGCAAGAGTCAGATTCAAAGCGAAACGCCAGGCCAAGGAAAACAATGGTTGTACTCCGCGTCCTCTTCTAGCTCCAGGAACCTTTTTAGGTCTGGTGTTTGATTTGACGTTGCCAAAAAATGCTTTGGAGGAAAAAGCCCTTTACCTGGCCCTCCTTGCTGAAAGAACGCTTCTGGATCTGCTGTTTGACGTCCAACTCCTCTGGAAAAAGAGTTCCGCACAGGCATCACCGCTCCAAAAGTTTCGAAGTGGTGGGACATTCTTCATGTACAAGCCTCCTATGTGTCCCTTGTTGAGTCGCGGAGGCCTCTGATGTGTCATTTTCCTTGGCCGTGCTAGCGGAGTCGCGCCTAGCCTGCTTTGAACTTGTGATACTTTAAAGCTCCGGAGGAGGCCCTAGCACGCCAGTGTAGGAGTCTAGGGTGAAGGAGGTGGGCGAGTTTCTACGCGTACGGATCTTCTTGCAACTATTTCCGTGAGTCCGTGAGTCGAACTGTTGTAGCACCGCAGTTTTCCCTAGGCCCTAAGCCCTATGGAGCCCCTATGTGACCATTGAACTCGTTTTCATTCCCAAGCGCTAAACCTTAAACTCTGATCCCTAAACCCTGTTCAGTTTTGCCTGGGTTCTTAGCCTTGTACCACTGGATCAGCTTTACACCATAATAATAACGATAATTAGGATACCTCCTCAACCCTAATCCTTAAACCTTAAATCCAATGGAAGTCTATGGGCAGGCTGAGCACCTGCGAACCAACATCCTGGAAGACTTGTAGGATGCTCGCCGCCGTGGTCCTGAAAAAGCCGGGTGCCTAGTAGGGAGTGAGGGAAGGACGCGGTTTAGGGTTTAGGGGTTGGGGAATGCCTCATGGGCACATTATAAGGGATTAAACGGGGACTACGACAGAGGTTGCTTCCTCCAGTCCTTCGGAAGCACCAGGTAGATGAAGAACCTTCTACAAGGCAAGACGGCCTTTCGTCAAGGACCAACTCTGTTCTTCCAGGAATCACTGACAGCGTAGCTGCAGGGAATTCTGCTGGATCTTGTAAATGCGGGCAAGATGTGTCGGCAACCTGTCACTGATGCAGATGTGATGGGACATGAACATAATTGCTGGCCCTAGTGTGTCAATTTGCGCGGTAGGTTGCCTGAATTCTGGTCCGTTTGGGGGTTCCCAGAAGGTTGTCTGTCATGCTGCATCATCCTATCCGTGCTCGGACCTGTTCCTGAACCTTCATGAGCTTCTTTACATGGTTTATGAAGCTCATTGTGGGAGTGCGGAGAAACTTAAATTCCGCCGCCCATGCTGCCGCTGCTATTTCCCATGCAGGGCGTCATCCCGTGGCTTGTATAATGAGCAGAACTTTGAGAAACCATGGAGGAAACAATAGCAAAACTGGCAGCTGGAGATGTGCGCAAAGTTTGCCAGGCGCACGCCAGGACTCCAGGGCATCTCAGGAGGTACTTGATCGTCAAAACTCGGAAGCTTTCTTCCAGATGGGCCGGCGTGTCGGCCTGGACAAGCTCGGCGCGTAAACGCAGACTCAATCTCGGGGTCATACATTCCCTAGAATCTCCCAAGCTAACACCAGGCCGTAGAGCTGAATCACTTCCTGGTCCCTGATCTGTACAGGTAGTGCTCAAAGAGGTCAGAGCGGCTGGCAATGTGGGACCTTCGTCCTACAATTTCGAGGGTTCTCAAAATTGGAGGTTCTCATGGACTTTTTGTGGGAATCTTTGGAAAACATGCGCGGATTGCACGGGTCCCCTGCAAGGATTCTGAAAGGGCTGCTTTGATAAACCCTACTTTGAACTTTAGGATTTAGATTATATAGTGGGAAAGTGCCCCATGTGCTCCTATTTCAGCACCCGCCCGTCCAGTCTGAGGCTAGTTTGAAGACCTGATACAAAGAGTATGTAATTAGGTTTGCGGATGGGGATTCAGTATTAGAGGTTGGGACTGAGGGTTTAGGATTCAGAATTTAAAGTTTGGGACTTAGGATTTAAGATCTTAGGGCGACATGTGTGTGGCAGAAATGAGACAGAATTGGAGATACAGTCAGGCCATACACCTCAGCCTCTCACAAAAAATGCCACCCCTTTAAAGCGGCTTCTAATAGCTTCCACTATTATTGGGGAATCGTATGGGAACTTGGGGCTCACAACCATCAATCTCCTACATTTCGTCTTAAGAATGAGAAAAAGCTCGGTTGTCATTGCTACAGTTAACTTGGTTATGGTTGCCCTGGGCCCCCAAGTAGAGGGATCCCAGCCTCCTTCCCACTACGCTTGGGCGAAAAACCTGGAAATCCTCATCCAGACCGCATTGGTTTTCAGGTTTAGGATGTAGGGTGGATCACCCAACTCCCGCCTCTTCTACCTGACACATCACTATTACTTCGCCAATTCTGTTCCCATGCGCAAGCGGAAGGACGGACAAGTGGTAGTGCTGGCATCTTCTGCAGCGTACCAACCTGCGCTAGACTTGCAGTTGAAGGCTTCTGATTCAGGGTTCAGGTCTGGCACTGGAGCAATAAGCAAGGGATAGTAAGGTCGTGGCTTGGGTAACTTTGTGGGTTAGCGTGTGCACCTGTAAACTACACGCACGGTACTGCTTATCTTGGACGTACGAAGAACGCTTGTGATACTGGATTTCAGCCATTGGTGCATTTGGGCGGGAATGCAAGGTGCGCTAACCAAAAGCAAAAACAACGCCCCCAACCCAAATCTCATATCAACGTCATCCCTGCCCCATTTCTCCCAGATCATCTTACCCAGCTGCTAAGCGGGGTGAGCGTAAAGCTTCCGACTTCTCTTTGTCGAAAGCATTCCTCAACACGCCTTCGTTCGGGTTTAAGGCTTGCGGCTGAGTAAGCCCTCCCTAGATAGTACCTGTTTCGGGGTCCTAACCAGAATTTTGACAAGAAATGTACGCAAAGCAGAACGGGACTACGCTGACGAGTCCAACCAGGAGTTGTTCAAATTCCTGTCGGCATGTTTTAGGACGTGAGGGCTCTGAATGACAGGGAGACATGGAAGAGGCCCCTCAATCGTCAGCAGTTTCAAGGCTGCTAGGAGCATATTTCTCAGTCACTTAGGATGCAGTCCACTTTAACGATTTCTAGACGGGCTTTTATCAAATATCTCGCAGGGCATGTCTTTATTGGCTTCAGTCGTCATGCTACGTAGGAGCCAGTGGCTTTACATGTTTTCATGTTTTCATTTGTGCATCATTCTTTGCCAGCATTTAAGCAATCATTCCCCGTAGAGTTCCATGAGCTAAACCTTGGAATCGCAGGTGCTTCGAAGTCAGTCCTGCGCTTTGCCTGCTGCGACCTGAACTTCTTCAGAACAGTTCTGCGTGGCAGGCATCCAAAACGCTCACCGATGCAATTCTTCCATTTGGTCATGAGGCGCATCGTCTGTTTTTGCAGAGGCAGTGACGGGTCCGGCACGGAGGCGTAAAAACATCGTGCCCATGATCTTCAAAGTGCAGCGCTGTTGGTTAAATCTTCTAGAGAAACATCATACTTGGTCGCGAGTAGGCTGCGGAATCTACATCCAAGCGAAATGACCAAGTACAGAACGAGCTCTTGATGCAGGTAGTTCGATCTACGCAACGTCGCGTGAGATTGCCGTCAACACAGCCACCTCACGTCTTTTCAAGTTCCGGAGGAGTTGCTTGAAGTTGTAGATCCAGCGCTCCAAGTTGCCTCATAGGAGTTTAATCCGTGCGTGCAAGACAGGAAGGAGTCTGAACGCCAAGTATGCGAAGCTCAAGAAGAAGAACAAGCTCCATCCGCATTTCCAAGCGGAACCTTCTTTTCAGTGACGACTTATCAATAAGTACGTTTCTCAAGCCCGGCCGTCAGACGGTAGGGCTGTTATGTGGTATTCTAGCTACGGCCTATCAGTGGCTTGGGAAGCTATGAGATTGCGACGAGAGCCAGAGTGCCTTGGTTTCGTTTCCAACATCAAGATCTGTTTGCAAGTTTATGGAGCTGAAGTTGGTCTTCCACAGCTCCAAGAATCATCGCTGGGCTTGTTCAGTACAACTACAGCGATGAAGGCATCAGAGAAAGCAATGGACCTGAGCGGAAAATCCTTTTTTCATGGAAAACCTCGTATAAGTTGAGAGGCCCGAGATCCACAATCGCATATGTAAAACAAGCAATTGAAGCAGCAACGAGCAGGCTTTGACGCATGCCATGAGCAAATGGGAAAGCATGGGCGTGAAAGATGTACTCGCCAACGCTTCGCTTGAGTTTGCAAACCGAGGCTCAGGACACAGCAGGTAGGTCAAAATCAAAGAAGACAGCGCGTTTGTTTGTCTTGTCAGAGACAATCAAGAACTGCAGGAGGAGCGTCACATTAAGATCGTGCCAACCAGCAATTCGTCAAGCAGTGCCCGTGACCCTACTCCAAGCCTGGAAAGCCAATTCAGCCAGAATCGCATTCAACAATGTCAAGCCGGGAAACAATCTGATCCAACATGAGGTCCCCAATCTCCATCAATTTTGAATTTTGAGGGCTTCTCGGTGTCGTTCTGGTTCGGCAGCTGCATCACCAACCCTCAGGGGCCTCCGGGGCTTCCAGGTCTAACTTCACAACTCTGGCCAGGAGTTTTGGTGCCCAGAGTGGTCCTTGGCATTTGGCCTACTGGGGTGGCGGAAGCAAAGCAGTGCCTCTCGATGTCCGGCATAAACGTCCACTCTCCATAGGCGTAGGATTTCAGCGTGACTCCTCTGATCCAAGAAAGTACATCACATGAACGAAACACTGCACACAGCACTTGTTTGGCCTGGAAAGCACTTGCCAGATAGTTGTACAAAGCCTTGAGAAAGCTGATGAAGACATTCTTGGCGACCCTTGACACAAACAAGGACACAAGGCGAGGATACATGCCTTCTGAGCCATGCACATGCTTTCCCGTCTGGCCAATTAACTCGAGAAGGCTGCAAATCAACAAGCTCTTTTCTGAACAAGCGGACGAAGCAATCCAGATGTTCATGAGGAGGAGGCCTCCAAATGCACTTGTCAGAAAATCTCGTTTGCCGTCGGTATCTCGGAATACGTTGGCAGTCAAAAGCCTGAATGGAGATGCGTCATTTTGGGAGACGAGCGTTGCATGGAAGTTGGCTGCGCCGTGAGTATGAATTTACCACCTTTGGCCACATGCAGAAGCACATGCTATGGAACTCACAAAGCATTTAAAGGGATTTACACTCCTTTCCAATTGAGGTCTTAAAGTAAGGATCACGAGCCAAGATTTCAAGCCTTGCACCACGCGGACCTTGGAGAAATCAAGCACGATTTTCTGATCGTCGTTCCAAAAGCTAGGTCTCTTTGATTTGCGTGATATTTTTGCTTCGACGCGCTTTTTCCTTTGCTACTACCATTCAAAGAAGCGGGTCTACACATGCCTTTGCCCTCAGAATTCTGGCGAAAATTCTCCAATCTCCCTAATGAGCGCATTTCCGTGTACAACGATGGTGCTAAATAGACCACAAATTGATGCGAGTCTTATCCAGGCCCCTCTTTCAGCAGTTCTCGTTTTGACTCCTTTCCTCCTCCAACGAAGTCTTTGAGTTTGGGGTTCAGTGTCCTCCGCTTCTGCAGGAGTGCTGCCCAGTTACACTCGTGGAGAAGGGAGAGTTGTTGAAGTTTGTTGAAGTCGGCGCGGATATTCGGAGGAGCGCGTAGACCCGGGACGGACGTGACAGAGAACCAAAATCTTCGGGAATTCATAGGTTGGCCGCGTCTATGCACGGAGCT